CTAGGGCAAACAATTGCAAGTCTCTTCAGTGTGCATGTCACAAAATGATTTAAAAAGAAAAGCCAAATTCTGGAAAAACTACAAAAAATAAGTGAAATTCTGAAAAAAAGGCAACATTTTGAGAAAAAAAGTACAAATTCCGAGAAAAAGTATCATATTTGAGATGCATTGTGGGACATGTAGTTTATGGGCAATGTGCTTCTGTAAAGCGGTATGTAACCGTATAATAAACATATTATATTCTTTGCTCTTGTGGGGCCACATGAAATGAAGTCGCGGGCCGGATTTGGCCCCCGGGCCTTGAGTTTGACACCCCTGCTTTAGATGAAAATAAGGAGCCCCTCCCCACACCCCTCTGAGAGGTATTTGGTTAAAAAGAACTCAATGGTGCTCTAGGAGGAGATTCAGGAGATAAGGTGGGGGGGGTGTTACCTTGGTTGGTGATTGGCTAATGGTTACACAAGCCAAAAACACGTTATGACATCGTCAAGTGGCAAAAATCTGATCAACTCATTTTCAGACAGGTTTTTATAGAAATGGATCGGGACAAAAAGAGAGAGAATATTTGTTCCTGAAACTTTCGGAATCTCTTTCCACAGAGGGGACACATGTTGACATGAAAAAGGGGATTTTACATAATACAGTAGGTCACCGTTAATGAATACTGTGAGTGCACATAACTTCAGCTAGTAGTCGAGGTTGAGCCATGAAATCAGTGTGTAAAATATTGATGGTATTTTATTTATATTGTAATATTCTAAGATACCTAGCAACAACAGGCAAAGGGACTGCACATCAAAATCAGGCTTTACGCTAAATTATGACACATCTACATGCTGAATAAAGATATAAATCAAACGACAATAAAGCAACAGCAAAACTATATATAAAACAAATCAAACGGTGTTACTATAAAAGGAGGCAGTGGAAAAGAAGCTTCACATGAGGGAGATATTGTTAAAAGGAGAGACTAGTCTGATCTGGCTGCAGCCTGAGATGTTGAGGCAGGGAGCCTCAACAGCGACTGAGATATGGTGATTTAAAATAGGCCTGGATAAACGGTTCACTGTGTCATGAGTCAAAACAGAGGTAATGGTTTTGGGGAGATAGCAGGAACCTCCACATGTGTCGCACTCTCCCAGTGAAACTCCCCACTGTCAGGTGAAAAGCAGCAGCTGCCATTAGAGTCCACATGCATTAGAGGAGGCAGAGCGTCCTGCCAACACTCACACAGAGGCTGCCAATGACAGGACCCAGCTTTACACTGGGAACCTGCAACACATCTTCATCATTCAGTTGGAAAGGTTCCTGTAAATGACACCAACGGTTGTTTGGTGGCAATGTTGAAAGAAGTACACAGCTGTAGAAGTATAAATAGATTTAAAGATACTCCAGTACAAGTAAAAGTCCTGAATTGATCAGGTTTCTTAAATAATAGTACAATAATATAGGAGCAAAATGTTTTTAAAGTATCAACAGTTTAAATACTTGGTATGGCTATTTCACATTATTATATGTAAGGGATAATTTGCAGCGAGGCGGTCATTATGGGTAAAAGAACACCCGGCAGGCTGAAGGCCTTGAATGACCAAGACGCTGCACATTATTCCGCTTATTACACGGCCATATACTAAACAAACTAAGGAATCGACTCCCAATATTAATTGAAATGATTTTATTGACTTAAAAATGATCGTATTTCTTCCGCTAAGAAAAAAAAAACTTTCTCTTTCTTGAGCCGCGAAGAAAATCAGTATACAGTTAAATCGATCAAACTTCTTTCTGCAGATGTGAGCGTCCTTAACAACGGTCAATAAGTCCTTGACAGCGGTCTGTCTGTTCTGGATTAAGTAGAAGGTCAATGATAGAAATATAGAGTAGAAAATATCAAGAAGATACTGTAGTGATCTCTACAATAAAACAGTTTAGTGCAGGACGTCCAAAGATATTAATAGGAGGATGTGCAAAACAGACAAACTAATAAGGCTTTATTTAAACATTAAAGAATACTTTAAGGTCTTATTTTGAATAAGAACAACACTTTGGGGGTATCAATAGATACATATTAAGTCTGACAAAGTACTTAACGTCTAATAAATTGCATAGTTTATTCCCTGATTTTGACTCAGGTGTAACTAAAGTCTGCTTTAAGGGTTGTTTATATTTCACATCATTGATCAGAATCTACAAAGTAACTAAAATAAATGTAGTGGAGTAAAAATACCAGGTTAACCTCTGAATTGTAGTGGAGTAGAACAAAGTAGTACAGTACATGTGCTGCTGTAACAACAACATAAAGTATATCTTATCTTATCTTAAGATGATTGATGGCTACTGCCATATTTGCAAAATTCGCCTCTGAAACTTGACAAGTGCATGTTTCAGGCTTATCAATGAACAACAGGAGGGGTCACAGACATAAGACCAGCTGTTAAATAAAGCTCTTCTGACCTTAGCTGTCATGTGGGTATATTAATGCTGCCCATCATGGGCACAAGCCATTTTCACCCATTTATTAATGTTATGTCTTAAATTTGATAACACCAAAGTGTTTCGTATCCCGTATGTACACAGTTTAATACTGGCAACTTCTAATTATGGGAAATACTAAAACGTCTTTTAAAACTACAATTCCCAGTAGAGACGTGCCATAGGAGATGTTGCGAAACACAAGTAGCCAGCATGGGTAGTTCTGGGGGGGGGGGGCTGGACCCGTTCGAGTCCAGTTTTGGATAGTCTGCCGTGGTTTCATTCCATTTCAAAGAGCTGTTTGACGCTCGGCGTAACCTTGACGCACTGCCACTCCAACATCCAATCACAGAGCTTTAGGATTAATTACGGGGTTAGTCAAGCAAAGCGGATGTTGTAGTCCCAAACGATAGCTGAGGATTATGGGTAGTGTAGTGTCTTAAGCCATCCCAAACTTCGAAAAAACTATTTGTTTCTCTGAATCGAAGGTTAAAAACACAAAAGCATTGTGCACAATTTAAACCAATCAATGTTGTGTAATTAACAAGGATAAACTGATGTTTTTTAGTGGATGAGTATGTCATATATCACTGTAAAATTATTTGATAGTGAGGGGAATCCTTCCGGTTTTATTATGAAAATTTCGAGACCGAAAATACTGTTTTCACCCCGTGAGGGTTAACGCCAACTTTACATGGACGCTGTGGGGAAAGGGGAAAGACGTGGTATATACACGTTCTCCTGGCGGGACCTCAAATCATGTTCGTAATATCTATCAAACTATAGATCCTACACATCCACTAGACGTGGATTCTAAAAGTACAATATACACTTCTCGCTAGAAATCGAATCAAAAACATTTTAATGGCCAAACTATTCTACAATTTAGGATTTTCCAGAGAGGGTTATTTGTGAATATACGACCCTCCGGAGTGTTTGCAATCAACGGGAGCATCAGCCCATATGCCGCAAATTGTTGTTTCTTACATGACCACTAGAGGTGCTACATTTTAAAACGTGACTATAGGTCGTAATAAGATGCTGAACAATCAGTTTTTTGGAGGAGGACAGGCTGGTTTAGACAGAATATATTTATGGTTTAACTTTTGCATCACCAAGTGGCGTGAGATCTTACCCTCCTTCCTGTGATGTGGTGCTGAGTCGTCGGGGACCTGAACACAGTAGGTCTTCCTGGTCTGGATCCCACTTCCACACAGGATGGAGATGTTGGCCAGCCGCTGGTCCTGATGGCTCAGTAAGGGGAGGATTCGACAGTCGTCCCAGTCAGTGGCCCTCCACACATACCTGACGGAAAAACAAGAGAAGATGTCAGTGTCAGGAGTCACTGTTTGATAAGTCTTGTTTGTGTACTCTTATGAATACAGGCACAATCCAATCAGAAACAATGTATAATTGACTGATTAAAAACAGAAAGTGTCAGCATATACAGAGTAGTGGCAGTTGTTTTCTGAAAATGTACAGAAAGAAAAAGATGAATTAGCGGGAGCAGTCTCCGGCAATAGTCTCTCACAGTATGTCAGCTTGAAGGAGGCCTGATTACTTGGATTTCAGAACTTCTCAACAAATGTTTGGTTTCAACTATGAAATATGCAACGGTGCGGAAAAGCAATAATATTGGATGGGTCCACTATGACAACAGCCTGTAGTAATCTATCGAATGCTTAATTTCCGTAATGAGTTTTCCCTAATCATGTAAATCCTCTGCTCGCAGGCACTCCATGTAGATTTAGCAAATAAAACAATCTACCTGCAGGGAAGAGAAAAAACTCTATTGATTTACTTTGTTTACTGCACGTAATATTAGCCTAAGCCTAACTCAAACTGTTATAGGACTGTCCTGTCACGTCCAGTGGGTTAGGAACTCCCAACAGGACATAACATTATTGTAAGTGGCACAACATAATTGAGCTAATCCCAAAAAAAAGTAATTCAACAGTGAAGTCATGAATTATTGCAGTCCGAAGGCTTTCTTTCATAATCACTCAGGTGAAAAAAGCTCGGAGAAGCAAAATTAGAAGTCATTATTTGGTTTTTAGACTTTGACACTTAATGCATTAGCATCTGCATCAGGAGATTACCGGCGAACAAAGCTTTTGTTTCTGGGGATTGTGAGCTGAAATGAGATGATAACCACTGTCATTAATAACTACCTCGGGCAGTTTGGAAGCAAATCTCCTATGATGTTGCAGGCTTCTTTTTCCTCAAGGGCAGGACAGCGCTCCCCCCCTCGGACGGGGATCTGCGTCATGATGCGTGACCGGAGGCGGTAACCAGGCGACAGGTCGGCGGAGCGGCAGGTCTTGGAGCAGGGACTCCACGATGACCAATCAGAAGTGTGACAGTCTTTGGGCATCACACAGCCCTGAAAGGTCAAGGGGGCATTGCCCCTGGTACAGAGGCTGAAGATTGAGAAAAATTAAGAAAATTTTAAGATAAAATACTACAATTAAAATCCTAGAATCACATAAAGAATAAAACTTAAATAGGTGACACCTTCACAGTGTATGAGTAAAGTTGCTGTTTAGAGAGTGAGATAGCGGGAACGATGTTACATTTGTTAAATATTTAAATAGACCTGTGAATACATTTTATGCAGTGAGAATCTAAGAAATCAAATAAAACCTACTGCTGACTACCTGTTAAGCACATGTCCTTTACAGCTTCCCCTTCTACATGACTATATTCAAAGCTGTTATACATGATACTAACAAGACTCAGACATACATTCTGTCTTTACAGAAACCGTACAAAGAGCTCACAAAAAAAAAAATGAAACCAGAGCATTAATCAAGTAATTACAATTCCATTGTTTAATTTGAACAATTTCATTAGGTAGGTTATTAAGATGTGAGTACAATGCTCATTTAAGAATGTTACTGTCTAATTAGGCTGTAATTAGAAAAGCAGAATGAGGCAGAACTCAGGTGGGAAATACATATTCAAAAGCCCCAATCACACTTCTTAGCAAGTGCCATGCTAATCAGCCACCGAACTATAAATGGTCCCTTCACAATCAAGTCATAAAGCCAGGGAGCCTGCCTTGTTGGGGATATTAAGGTGCAAATATCAAACACATAACTAGAAAGCCTATTTTAAGCCCTTTAAACAAAATTCATAACATCAAAACAACCATGATACTTCTTAAAACCCCTAAATCTGACACGGCTAAGCTTTTATTTAGCTGTACACAACTGCAATGCACTGTCCATGACTCTAAATATAAAATGCAATGCTCCCACAGTAACTTATGTTAAGTTGTTCTGATACCACAGCCTCCAAGAATGGAAGTTAACAATTGATTTCAGCAGTCAGTTAATAGTGTCATCTTGCACTAAGATAAGGGTCGAGTATGTTGTCAATATAATTTATATGTAATGATTTTCTATGTCCTTGATATAATGGATACAGTGGAATGTTGTTTATTTCTGCATGTGTTTGAATGTGTCTGTTTTTGCTCTGAGCAGTAAAATCCATTCTTATCAAATCTAAATACCACAGTTTGCTCAAACAGCAGGGACAGGAGGGGAGCAGCACTTGACATTTACCATAATAGTGACTCACCACCATGTTAATATGCTGCTGAAACAGCAGCTCCCACATGATCCAGTTATAATTGAATAAATAACCACCATCAATAAAAACCATTTAGTTTCACCGAATACTCCTATGCACGAGGAAAAAATGACCCGCTGGGATCATGAAGGAGGATGGTCATTGATCATGTCCCTCTCGTGTTATTAAACAATATGAGTGTGAAAGAGCAGTAAAAGCAATCAACTCCATTAGGACTATTTCAAATTGCAGACGCCCACATAGAGTAGCAAAGCAGCCTCAACACATGGAAAAAGATATTTATGTCGAGGTCTGTCCCCCAGATCTATGACAAACCAGTGTATTTAACACAGCTGCACTGACGAAAACTGAAACATTGACTTTAACTAAATGTATGTCAACAAATTTCATCTAATTTACACCAAATATTTTTGAATAAAACATAATATTATTGCTTTCATCTAACCTTATACAGTTATGTGAACAATGTTGACATAATACATTTAATTAAAGTCAATGTTTCAGTTTTCCAGTGTGCCCTTCTTTCGTCATAATCGTGGATTAATCTTGGACCAATAGAAATGTCAGTTTTACCATTTCTCATTCTCGCTGTATGAAAGGTGCAGCACATGGTAGCACGTGTCTTACCTCAGCATAGCGTTCTTGCCGTCGCTCCGTGTGCAGCGCACTTGTCGTGTCTGGTATCCCACCTCCAGCTCCCATGACATGGGGTTATCGTGGTGGTGGTGGGCGTGATGGTGGTGGTGGGAGGTCTGCATGTGCAATGTGACTGTGTTGTTCTCATTGGAGCTGAAGTCCACTGTGGTCCTGCCACTCAACAGGGCGTCCTTGTGATACGGAAGTCGGCACTCGCTCCAGGCCCCTACTTTAAGGCTGTACTGGTACTCCCCCTCCCCAGCAGGGCAGTCAACATAACCAGAACAAGTCCTGGTCTCTGTCAAATTGGGGCAGCTTTCCCCTCCGAACATTGGCGTGGCCAGAACATGTCGAGTCCGATGCTGCATGCCAGTGCCGCACGTTTTGCTGCAACTGGACCAGGACGTAAAGTCTGAAACTACACAGTCCTGGGGGCAGGGGATGAGGCACGCCTGCTCCACAGGTGGCTTCTGGGAAAAGAACTCACATATCCTCAAATTGACTGTGGTACGGTTTGAAGTGCGCACACAGTGGACTTTGCGCCTCTGGATGCCGTGCTGCGCCGTTATGCACTCGGCCATCCTCAACTTGAGCTCGTTGGAGAAGAAAGGGACGAGAACACAGCCCCCCCAGTGTGACACCTCCCACTCAAACAGGTTCTGGTGCCAGTCGCAGACCTTAAAGCAGTGACGCTGGCTTTCTGGCTTGTCCATGTGCTGGCAGTGGGTATGGTGGGTGGTCCAGCCCTCCATGTGGACACACCATATTGTCCTTGACTGAACCCCACCAGAACCACACTGCTCCCCGATACACTGACCCCACTGGCCTGCAAACCAAGAAAAGAAACACATGGAGAGGGCATTTTCATTAAAATCTGAGGATGTAGAAAAAAATAGGATGATTTAAATAGTAGCAATCTGGCAGCTTGCAATCAAGCACAATTCAAGGCCATTCACTTAACCTCCGTGATTGCTTTATTCATGAACTGAGGAAGAAAGGAACAAAAGTGAAAAAGAAAGTAATCAAACCAGCAGCGGACATCAATATAAAATTGAGCAAAATATGAGGTTAGTTTCTCGTCAAAAAGCACATGATTTACTTTTTTGGATCCCAAACAGATCAATGGCTTATGTACTAAAAGTTACAAAGACAAGTTTAAGTTTGCTCAGGTTGTATAGAAAGATATGTTGTTACTTTGCTGAGATGCAAAATATTGTAAACTCTTTAAATCTTTCTTCAAGAAATATCTTGTTTTGTATTTGAATTGTATATTTTCAACCCCAGGCCACCTAGCTTTTCAACAGTTTAAGCATTTTGTCTACAAAGAAAAGGCACTACACATCAAAGTTTAAATCTTTCTAACAAGGAGTATTGATATTAATTTACCAAACCCCCGATAAATGCATAGCGTTTTGCAGCGGTCTTTCTGCTCACAGTACATCTTTATATGCATTGCTTTCATTTAAGAATACACTCAAACGATTAATATTATGAAATTGGTCACTAAAGAAGAACAAACTTCCCTAATTGAGCCCTTTTCAGTGTTAAGGGGATAAAGTGAAACCCTATTTTAATGGTGATAGCTTTAGGAACATTTAATAACATCACAGTTTGGAAAGGTCAACCAGCAAACATGCCTAATTACATTTCATATCTCAGGCAGAAGTTGATCCAGTTGATAAACCTGATAGATTAGCAACAAGAGAATAGCGTGTTCCTTATAAATAAAATGTAAAGTGTTCTAAAACATAACTCTTATTTCTGTTCTCAGTAAATCTAATACAACAGACTTTGAAACAGAGATATTGTGGACACAAACTGTGTGAACATTATGATCAGTCATTCTGACATTCAAAGCTTGGGGTGTTGTTAGGCAACTATAAACTAAGCAGCAAAGTCAAGCTATGCTCACAAAAAAGGTGTAAAATCCTGTTCTACTCCTCAGGAAAGTGTTCAGTCAAATAAATGTCAAACACAGGCGAGTTTTGAAAGAGAGAGAGAACTTCATTCTCAGTTATACACCCTCGTATCGGAGTGATGATGTGGTTGATTTTGGCACTGTGAAAGAGAACTGCTCTTGCAGTCAATACTAGGTAACATCTGTGTTTGCGATAAAAGCACAGTGATTTTCCACCTCTGACAAATAGCACAAACTAAAAGTACTCTGTGTGGTCAGAGGGAGAACAAAATTCCTGATTCCTCCCACTGTGAAGGCTTTGTCAGCGTCAAAACGTAGCTTTAAATGTAATATTTATATGGATTCCAGTCTGACCACAGCCTCTATATCTTTGGAGAGTGGTCCTATAAACAAATGAAAAAAGTCTACAGATGATATGGGTGCAATACTAAAATATTTTGGATATAACTTTCACCAACAAAGAAAAGAAAGCTTTGTATTCATATGGAGGTGCGGATATGGATACTGACAAATATAGGACAATTCTTTTAATCTTTGATGTTAAACACATTTGCTTACACATATAGCGTATTACACTTCCATCAATTGTATAATATAAAATGCATCTGATGTTCAGTCTGATGAAAATAATTGTCAGTCATGTTTAGGCAACCTACTGCACAGTCTCTTTTGTTGCTGTAATTACTTGAGGAAGTGGATTTTGCGTGTAGCACCTGTTGAATATTAATGCTTATTCTGTTGAAGGCTTTGAATCAAGCTCTGACTTTCTAATTTCATAATGTTTTCTAATATTAAAAAGAACATGAGTGACATAGCGATCCATGCTGTGTTCACATCTGCAGAATGTGTATAGGTTCAATTGAAAAGGCTAATTAAATAGCAATTTCATTAAAAAAAAAGCTAGATTAATGTGTGATTTATTAAACCCAGTAACAATTTGTAACATGCTAATTTAGTTTTTGACCTTTTGTGCTAATCTTTTGGAAAAGAAGTGATAAATCAGAAAAACAAATGAATGAAATCAATTTGCCGATATGATGTTTTGTATCTATGCCAGTCATTTTGCCGCATGCTATGAAAGGGATAATTTCATTAATTCCCTCTAATTGGAATTAAATTGATGTCATAATGAGATCCTACTGCTTCCCGAAATTGCTTTTGAATGACAACTCGCTGAAACAGTTTTTTTTTTTTGCACAAGTGAAATCTGTTGTTAACACTCTGTTCCCACGACAACACACTTCGAAGCAGTTGCTTTTTGCTTAAGGGAGCAATATATCAAACTGCTGAATTGTTTCATAGTTCATCAGAGCACATCATTGAGTTTATTCATCTTGGCTTTGCGATGTTAATGGGGGCTCACGGTGTAACTAACATCATTACGCTCATATGAGCTTTTCGTCCAACACGGCTCAGGGGACGAGAAATCTAAAATCGTTAATACTTTTATTAACATAGATGTTTTGCACATTGGAACATTTTGTTATGTTTGTCCTTTGGCTTGATTTTAGACATTGGGTAAGATATGCACATAAACATGAAGATGTGCAGTAATGAGAACACGGCCATTATTGACACAGTGGGAAAAGCATTGAGTGTGTTCAACCACATGCAGTCATTGTGTTCACTAGACACTGATAAATAGTTCCATAGCAAAAACTAGCAACATTTTGTCTTAAAGGTTACCTATTGTGCAAAATCTGCTTTTTCATGTTTTTTCTATGTAAATATGTATAAGTATGTTAGGAGTATGTTAAGAAATTCGGCAACAATAAGATTTACCCACTTTGTGACATCACAACTGCTTTTAGTGTTGGGCAACCATTAGCCACTAAAAGGTAATCCTGCCTACCTTATCACCAGAATATCCTCCTAGAGCACCATTGGTTTTCTTTTAACCAAATATTTTGCAGATGTATTATTGTTTGCCTTTTACAGGTACGACAACAACAAACACATAGTTCAGAGAAAGCCTCATAACAAGTTCTAGGAGACGCACTGGAATGCAGCAGCCATTACAAACACAGCAGACTGATAAATAATGAGCAAGACCTGTGGCATCATGGGAGCTCTATTAAAATACTGCAACAGGTCATTCCATGCAACCTGCTCCACAGAAGAAAGGGGCATTATTGTACCTCTACTCCTGTGAGGCATACAATCTTAATTCACAGGTATATACAAAGCTCACAACTAACTAACAGCAGAGGGACAATGACTACAATTCGAGTGGCTAAGACTCTGAGGTAACGTTAAACAACACTTCTATTTTATCATAGTCATGAGTTGGGTTACCCTGTAGTTAACGTCAGCATTTTTTGATGCTTTACACTACACATTGCACATTCAAGAGATCGCATTTGAAATACTTAAGGTTTCAAATGTTTTTGGTTACATCAGCCTTTCTTAACAATTAACATTCCATTTGTGGAGATATAATAAAAAGGAAGAACATGAAAAGTAACTACACGCAGTATGAGGCCAAAAGAAAATAGATAATAGATAGCGACTCAACCACAGCCGCAAATCTTGGGTATTGAACTTTTAAAATGACCATAGCCCATTCAACTTGTTCCATGTTCATGAGTTGAACCTTTACCATAAATGTGCACTTTAAAACAGAATAAGAAATACGTTGAGTGTGTGCAAATGGCTACCCTGCCTTTTTCTTTTGTACATGCCAGTTCATATTATTTCTTACTTTTGAATAGATCTTTACACAGCAGCATGTTGCATTAATCTGAATTAACATGCCTCTGTTGTAATTGATAGTTTGAGCTATGATGTGTGGACTCAGGCTATTTGTTTACATTCCAAAGACACTTGAAGCGCTTTGAACAGTAGAGACATGTTGTTTCTGTCAGAAGAGGCTACACAAGATCACTTGAAGCTAAGAAGACATCATCATGATAGATAATATTTTAATTGGGCACATTATACACTAGAACTCATTTCAAAAAGTTGCATTTGTGTCCCTTATTCCCACATTCCTCCGCACTGTGTGAAAAGACATCCTCAATTGAGTCAAAGCCCACAAAAGCAAACAAATCTTATATGGGTTACACCCAAAAATGGACATGAAAGCGCAGCACAATTTGAAGATATGAGGAGCAATTCACAGCTGAGCTTAAAGACCTTTGGTGTCAACTACAAGCTTAGTGTACTGCCCTTGCGGTGTATGATGGCATTCTTCATGATAACCACTCTTTCATCAGCATGACCACCTTTGCTCAGTGTTGCTGTTTTCATGCTGTTCCAGGATATGTGTCCCTGATTTATGGAGGTGTGATTGGGAGTGATTCGGCTGCCAGGGGAGCTGGCTACACACGCGCTAGTTCATCTCCTAAGCTCTGAATAATCACTCCCTCGATCTGTCAGCATCAGCATCCGTCAGCCCCTCAGGAGGAACCAGTCACCCACCGCTCCTTCATTCCTGACGCACTTAAGACGTCGTGCCTACCCCCTCGAGAGGGCTCCGGTATCCCCGGGGGGGGCCCTGCTATATTTACTATTCCATTTACATCCAGGATGTAAGAGGAAACCCTAATTGGCAAGAGGCTGAGCAGACTTCTTTATAACACAGGAAAAGAGAAGAATTAAAGTTAGCCGGTGTAGCGTGACAGAAAATGTCTTCCCTATTTCAGCAGTTGGAACCTTAAGTTGGACAAATGATGGCAAAGCTGTACGACAATAACACAACAAAAGCAATCTCCATCGTGCCCGGAAACCAGACGGACGGAGACAAAGCAAACAGCGAAGGAGTAAAGCGTCTCTTAAACAGCAGCGCTACATCAAGAGAAAACACCACTCGCTAAATCTGTTGCTTCTCTGGTTGCTTTAGTTACATTTGGTATTAGCATCAGGTCAGTAAAGTCCTGAAGCATTTCTGGCTGCTGAACTTTTAAACT